CCCCATAGGAAATTTCACTCTCTATGATTCACGCCGGGGGGAGGGCCTAGGAAAAATTTTTTGAGCCGGGGGGAGAGCCTAGGAAAAAATTTTTTGACCTGGGGGGAGGGCCTAGGAAAATTTTTTTACGCTACCCCCGGACGACCGGCCCCCCCTCCCCGGTAAATATCGTACAGTCCCTTAAAACTGCCCTACTCTGCCAAAAGGCCCCCTTTGTAACAGAACGTTAGAATGGTTTTGATTTTGCTTACATACACTACTGTTGAAAACAAGAAAGAACGCTGTTGTTTGTAAGAATAATGTTATATACATTGTATTGTAGGACCTCTTTGAGGTATCTAAGTAGTACAGATTCAGGAGGGTAGAGGCAAATGCTTCATTAGTGATCTTGTTAAAGGTATCCAATGTAATTTTATGGTGACAAAACAAACAAAAAAATATTCCGGACAAGGAAATCTGATATTGACATTTACTGCCATTTTTTAGCACATTTTCGTCATCATTTCATAATAGTAATAATTTCCTACTTGAAGCATTTGAAATAGCCCCTAAACAAGCTACATGAGGAGTCCCTTTATTTTTTGGTACCACCAATAAATCGCCAGAACCAGCCTATGATACAAAACGAGGAACTGTTTTCCATCAGCGACGTCACAAATTTTGCCTCATTGCGCTATGGGCTAGGGTTGATTCAACTTACAACATGTACATAAAAAAAACTGAAATCCAGTTTTGCTGCCCTGAAATCAATTTGGGTGTTTTTAGAGATGTAACTTAAGAAGTGAGCTTGAGTCTTCCATGGCCCTGGCCGGCCTGTAGGAACCTTTATACCTATATTAGGCTATCAGTCAGGCGAAGCTTGTCGTCACCGCTGATATTATAACTACTGCAGCTGGGGCTACTAAGAAAGCGCCAGTCTAGAGTGTTGCTTGACGCACATTGTAGCTGTCAGTAAAATAAGGAACTGTAATTTGTAAACTTCCCTGGTGGTCATACAGTCCAGTTATAGAACAAATTCAGGGCAGTAAATTTCAAAGTCAATTTTCTGATAATTATTTCAATGTAGTAAGTTAAATCAACCCTATCTCATGGTGTACTGATAAATGTATCTGTAAGGCAAAAATTCCATGTTGCAGACAGAAAACGATTGCTTGTTTAATTTGTATCATAAACTGTTTCTATGTAATGGTGGTAAAAGGGACTCCTCACTATTGAATTAAAAAAAGTTATTCAAGTATGAAATGATGATGAAAATATGCTAAGAAATGGCAATAAATATCAATATCAGATTTCCCCATCCAGAATATTTTTTTTTTACTTTGCCACCTTGAAATGGCAAAATTTGGACGCCTTTCAACTGGTAGAAACCCACTATCAGCTAACCAGTGAAGCAAGACTAACCTCACCAAACACTACATGGGAAACTCTAGCTGCTTTCCTTTAGGCCGGTATCCTTTCACACTAAGATCCCTGTACTGATAGCCAGCTCCAGCCTTGTGGGAAAAACCAACCATCAGACAAAAGATATCGTCTATCAGCTGACGTCAACCACCGTGACTGTACGCAGCGTTCAAGTCTGTAAAAGTGTTGAAGGACATGGCGATATTGTGGCAAAAACAAGCAAAACTAAACTGTTAGGGTTAGACTGAATTAGGAAAGAGTTTGTAGTTAGAACAAGGGTTTCCTGGCAACATAAAAGAAGGAAAACATAATACTAGAACAGCACAAAATTCATGTTTATAATACTGAGAGAGAAATTACACAATAGAGCCTCTTCATGTTTACAACTGGTGTGCAATCATTCCTATACAGTAAACAGAGAAATATTCATGTTGACTTTATGTTCAAGGTTCTGAACTTCCCAACGAATATACCATCTATCTTGTAAAATTTGAAGTTGTCAGCAAACAACATTTCAAGGTTTACTGTATATTGTAAATACATTCGCCTTCACAGTTTTATTTTGTTGTTGGAGAGGAAAAGAGTTTGCAGTGTTTGAAGTTCACAGTTGAAACAATTCTGTAGTATAATAGAACTATAAAACATGTTTGGGGTGTTGCGATTTTACGAGGTCATTGCAAAAACTGTGGAAATAAAATCACCCTAAAAGCATCTACATTTACAGTATTTTCATAATAAAAAGTTTTAGTAGTTCTGATATTTTTATTGGCAAAAACAGAAATGCTTGAATGATTAATAATGAGTAGCAGGGAATTTCACTATTTGTGCCCACTTGGTTATATTTCGTGGTTTGTGACAGTGAAACTGTTCACTACATCTTTGAACAGAAGCCCCCCTCCCCCTTAGTGTGTTCAGGTGCAGTCTGTTGTATTTCGTCTTTGTTCTGTTTGAAAGGTTTGTTATTGAGCACTGGCCCTGGTAACTGTTTAGAAAAAAAGGTAAACTATCTTGAGAGGCCATTGTTGAGTGTAGAGTATACACACTCCAGACACCACAGTCTCAAACTTTCCAACACAATGTTTAGAACTGTCGTTTGGGTCTTTCCAGGAAAAGTAGGTTGTTTTAGCAAACTAACACTACTGTAACAACACTTTACTCTTACCTGTTAACTGGAGAAGTGCTGATGTAGTTTTGATGCTGATGTCACACTAGTAGATCTACTGTATGATTATCAAAAGCTTAGAAATTTTTAGTCCAGTAAGAGTATTGAAACAGTAGTTAACACTAGTTAAAAAGGTGCTCAGAGCAGGAAAACTGGGTTATTAAAGTCAATTTTCTGGTCAATTTCAAATGTAGTTTAAGTTGAGTCAATTTGTACCCTATAGCATACTGATATCAGTGAGGCTAAATGAGATGTTGTGGACAGACAATTCTTGATCATAGACCGTTTCTAGATACATGTATTTATTGGTGGTACCACTAATCATGTAGCTTGTTTTGGGGCTGTCTCAAATGCTTTAAGTATGAAATGATGAGGAAAAGGTGTTAAGAAATGGCAGTACACTTTATATCAGACAGATTTCCTCATCCATTTTTTGTTTTGTTTTACCAGCCTGAAATTTCATTGGATGCCTTTAAAAAGTTAGCTTCTTGATTGTGTAAATAGCAGTTGTGGAGACATTTGCAAAAGGCATTTCTGAAGGAAAACTGATTTATCTCAGAAGGACAAAGCCAAGACGACCTGGTGAGTCAATCACTGGTGACCTTGAAAACCCCCCCTCCTCTTGTTGGCGGAACACCCAAGGTCATGTGAACTCCCCACGGCGAGTGCTTCCAGCCGTACGGGTGAGGAAAGGTCAGCGGATTGTTTGCGCGGGCTTGGCAGGAGTCACTAGGAGGTGGCGTTACATGCTGGCAGAGTCAACAGCACTGCTGTATAGGAGGGACTGTGCACAGGACAATGATCTACTTGTCATAGGCAGGGCAGCACAGATTAACAAAGGCACTGGAGAGGGCTGAATAAATTTCAAGCATGTCTACACAACACAATACCCATTCTGGTGTGTCTGTGGGTCCAACTGTGGGGATTGGAGAAGGCTTCAGTAGAGCAGAAACTGTAGACTATTTACTCTTCGTATTTATGTGTGCTTTGCCGGATCGTCTGTGAAAAGTAGCTCTTTCCAAAGATGTTTTAGAATGACAGTTGGGATCGAGTCAGGACGTTTATAGTAGACAAAAAAACATGCACAGGTGCACAAAAAACACACACAAATGTTAAATAATGTATAATTTAATTTTCTGACTTTTCTTCTTAGTTTGGTAGCTCTAGCAGGATATGATAATCATGTGTAGCTTTTCTACTTAAACCTTCTGCCTACCGAGATAGCCTGTTTGGCACCAAGTTTGTATTGGTTACAGGGTTAGGCAGCAGGGGGAAGGTTAATTAACCTGCTTTGGACTTACATGTACCTTGTTCAACATGCTACAGGTTATGTAAAATGTACCAAGCAGGGTTGGACAAGTTTTCAAAAATCCACTTGCGTTGTGGTCATTCCTACTTGCCCGAACTAACTTTTCACTTGCCCAAAATATACATGGCATTTTTATATGCATTTTTAATACCAGCAAGGAAATTATTTTATTTTATTTTAGAGTTTATAATGCTGCATGCTTTATTTAGCAAAATAAGGTGGTTTGAGACTTGTAATGGATTTTCTGACAAAAGGGCATAATAAAATATCATTATGGTAAAATGATGAGTAATTTTGCTCCAAAAACCATAGCAGCTATACTTCGCATCCAAAAAATTTACTTGCCCAATCGGGCAAGTACAGGGGGATATTCCCTTGCCAGAACAGTACTTTTACTTGACCTGGGCAAGTGGACAATTAGACTTGTCCAACCCTGCCAAGGATAACCTTCTTCCTGCTAGGCTAGGAGAGGGTTAACCTACACCTGCACTAACTAGAGTGGATAAAATATTTACATCATGTGTCCTCTCTAGGATGACATCTGGCCAGTTGTTTGCAATTTCCCACCTGTCCAAACTCGTAAAACACTTTGATTTCAAAGTTAGATTTGTTTACTTCTTACACTAAGGGTTAAAACACTTGAAAATTTGAAGAACAAAAACGTGTACAGCCAAATTAAGTGCCTGAAAAAAAGGAACTGTAAATGTTGCAGTGGTTATATTACGCAGTACCATGGATAAGGTTTGAAATCTGCAGACAGAATAATTTTGTAGTACATTACAGTTACAATTGTATGTCAATGACTTGTGGTGAGGAAGTCCCTGCAAAAACACAAAATAAAACTCCAGGTACAATAAATATTTTGGCATTTCCATACAGTACAGATCTCTAATTTACACGACTTCATATGGCTTTCAATTTTGATTTTTAAATCAAGATGTGTGAAATGTGTGATTTAAAAATGCAATTCACACAACTTTTGCACGAGAAATAAATGAGTTAAATCACATGTAATTGTGTGGGATGGGATAAATTGAGATCTGTACATGTACAGTTAGTTGAATTTCCTGAGTTAGTTGAGCCCTGCATGAGTAGTTCGGTAGAGTGACCTCCTGTGTTTGTCCCTAGGAGATGGCCTTGCGTGCAGGTCAGATGCCTGAGGAACAGATGAACGTGGCAGGGATGCCGCCCGCGTCGCAGGCCGCCGTGTCCTCCGCCTCGCAAAACCCCACCCAGACCTCGTCAGAGATGCAGGCCGTCACCACTACAGGTACGTGGTACATCCCCACTCCCAGGGGGGCTGGGACTGAGGGTGGGGCATGTTGTATATTATTTATATCATACCCACCTGAGAAAACACACATTTCAATGCAAAATGTTTTGTGCCCAGGTATGACATACATGATAATAAATTTACTTCTTATAGTAATTTATACAAGTATGCAACATATGGTCACCTCTATTACTTGTAGAGTAATAGTATGGTCGCCTCTATTACTTGTACATGTACAACTACATGTACAACTACTTTTACAACTACATGTACAACTACATGTGTAAGCTGAAAAATTGGACCTGGTTGGTCCTTGAATTTGATTCATTATTGGAATATGATTTTAAAAAATTATGATTTTAAAAATGTGACATTCATTTTGTATCTCTAAGATTCCTTGAATGACTTGTGAAATATTTGGTTGTGTTGATGGTCTCAGCCTCTAGTAGAAACGTTGTGTTAGTTAGAACAGTCCTGTCCAGACCGTGACCTTTGTAAGAATGGTTTATTTGAAATTTCCCCTCACATACATGTATGCCACACTTGCAGTCCTAAGACTGAATTATGGTGACAGTACATACATACATTATCATAGACTTATACAATTATTACTAAAGGTTAAAAATTATGAATTACAACTACAATTTATGTACAGTAGAAGTATACAATGTATAAATAAAACTAGTAAAATGCGTTGGTTAAAAGATGCACGTTCGTGTACTATACCAAATTATTAAAATCTTTAACAATATTTCTATTATTTATATAGGATTTATACTAAGTAATTATAAACAAGTGACCTTGTTGTCGGCAGGCATGGACCCGTTCCTGAGCAGCGGGACTCCGTACCACAGCCGTGACGAGAGCGCCGACAGTGGTCTGGGCATGAGCAGTAACTACTCCCTGCCACGCACACCCGAGGACTTCCTCAGTAATGTGGACGAGATGGACACGTCAGAAAACAGTGAGCTCAACTTCTTCCTACAGCATCGGTCATGTACAGACACTTGTAGATAGTGCTGTGTACTGGTTTGGTGGACCGGTTCCAGACTTCTAAAAATGTTAAAGTTCAAGTCCAAAAAAAACCTAAAAGTCAAGAAACGATTCCGGACTTATTACAAAAAAAAAAAAAAAATGTCACATACCCTTTTTCTTTCAAAACCACCTAAAGCCCTCCATACATGTACATGTATATTGCAAAATCTGCGCTGCAAAATGAAGAAAACATTGCAATCAGGCATCGTTATAGCTGTTGGCCTCCATGTTATGTGGCTGCAGTTTTGCCCAGACAACATTGCAAGGTTGCCAACATGCAATTTTGTACATGGGTTTAGGTCCGGACTTACAACTCCAGAAATGAACCTAAACCTCTGGACTTGAACCCGGACCTGAACCTAAATGGGGGTGTAGGTACACAACACTACTTGCAGACATACCGTACTGTGCCTACATGAAACCAGTAATGTATTGTGCATAGCAGAACATTTTGTTTATGTCATATTTGCATACTTTTCAAATGTTGTGCAGCAGACAAAATTCAGATGATCAAGCATCCAGCAAAAACTGTGAAAAATCTGGGTTTCGTGCAGGCACAGTATATACATACGTTCTGCTGATGTGCTAGTCATACATGTAGCACATGGAGGGCCACGAAAATCGAAAATTATCCGGAATTATGAAATCTCAGATTTCTTAAATAGCAAAGATCATTATTCACAACCACAGAAGAACACTTGTCGTTGCGAATAAAGAATATTGGTTTTCAACCATTCACCAACATGATAAGATTATTTACAGATCTCTGATTTCTTGTTTGACGTTGTAGCTGGCGCAGAAAAGATGCAGACAAGTCGGCCCAACTCCACCCAGCCGCAGCCAGGGGGGCGAGGTATGCCGGACATCCTGGACACCATGCAGGGCACCAACGTGGACCTGGGCTTCCCGGAGACAGAGAGCTCTAACGTGGACAGTGAGGAGCTGGTGCCCAGTCTACAGGAGGCCCTGAACTCTGACATACTGAACGATGTGGAGAACATGCTCTCACCATCCAAGATCGACAACTTCCTCACATGGTTGTAGTGGAGCCCAAGGCAACAACAGTATTAACAAGCCTGGTACGAAGGCCCATAAGGACAACTCCAGTCAACAAGCAAACCATGCACATAAACCATTTTTACTACCGTTTTGAAACCATTTTCAAAATCTATCCAGTTGCTTGGATGACAGATTCCTCGAGTGTTTTTACTACGTCCTGTGAGTGCCATGCAAAGTTTTCCTTGCTGAAGCTCACAAAAGTTAGTTATTGTGCAAACAAGAAGTGACAGCATGGTTTGTAGGGGACGAAGTGTGTCCTTACGGGCCTTGGTAGCCCCGAAACTAGCCATGGGCTGATACAGAGTCATGTGTATAACTATAAGCAGTCATGTTAAGTGAAATAATAGCCCATAATTCTGTTAAGGAACCAACAGAAGGGCGGTACAAGGACTGCAGCAGCAAAATAACCTTTAAGATATCGAGCAATATCACAAAGAGGCCACTTACAAAATATCTGGCACAGTATAGAGTCATATCAAAGTTTATGGTGCCTTTTATACCTACTTAACAGGATATTCTGTTGGTTTCACCTGGTCTTCAGCCTTATCCATGCCTTATACGGTAACTGATCTTGACCAATTACAAGGCTGCATCATTGGAATTGACCAATGAGAGGAGAATTCCTACTGACCAATCAGTCTCTTGTTCACAAGCCACCTATGTATGGGTTGTATATTTTTTGTCAAAGATATTATCAAAACTGAAATAAAAATGACTGAAAAAAAAGAGAAAAAATTGGCATATTTTTTTGAAAAGTTGTAAGAAGAGGCTTTTTTATTTGGTAAACCAACGGAATATCTGACCACTAGTAATTTTACTGGCCTGACCACTGTAGGGTGTACCTTAGCGTTGTAAACATTTGTTTGATATCTCAATATATAACTTTTGTCTTCATTTTATAAGTAGTTAGTTTGAAAAAAAAAGTTATTTTTCACATCATATGAGGTGAAGTTATAGTACAGTAAAGTCATATCTTTTAGCTGTTTGCATATCACTCAGAAATAGCTTAATTTACGGTATAGAGAGGACAATTTTTTTCATTTTATTTTGTATATATACGTTTGAATGAGATGTTATAATCAAAGTGAGTGAGTGGGATGATATATTGAGTTTAAAGTTTTAGATTTTTTAATAGAGTGACTTAAAGTTAAATAGTTGGTCAATGAATTCACCCGCTTTGCTGGCAACTACTTCAGTTGGGCTTTATTGAGCTTTCTTGCACTGCAAGGGTTTTTTGATCATGGTTAGACGCCAAAAGAGTAAGAAAAAAAATAATCAGCAAATTTTCACAAAAGACGGGAAGCCAGTTCGGTGGGAGTGCCATCAAGTCATCCACCAAAACTGTCTTCAATTCTTTTTTGCAGAAATCTTAATTAATTACTATTTGGATTTTGTTATTCTACCAGTTTTTATAATTGCAGATACTTTCGCAGTGATTTTCGCAGTGACCACTTCACCACAAATTTGCAATACCACAAATTGCATTATTACTGTATTACAGAATTGTTTCAACTTAATACACAGTTTAACTCCTTTTCTCCCCAACTGCGAAATCTTTAAATTCAATTACAGTACCCTGGTGCTCTCTGTTGCACAAAAACACATTGTTGGAACAATATGTATTGTTTTGACTTATCCAGAACTATTGAGTTTACTGTCAGCATTATCAAATTCACCTATAATAGTTTCTTGAAAAGTTTCTGTGATTTTAGGATGACTTTCTTTCAAACATTGTCAAAATGACCATCTGAATGATGAATACTTTTGCTTATGCAATTGTTCTAGTTGTTTATTAAGTTGTATATTTCTTTATGTGAGTGTGGTGGCACTGCTTCACCATTTTAGATGATGAAATTTTCGTCTTTTTTTTTAAAGTCCAATTGTAAGTTCACATTTTGCATTTCTTTTTGAAATAACAAGCTATGGACTTTTGTATGGCATGGTTGCTATCCCTAATATTCTGGATGGTATGTTTAAGAGATTCCAAATGTGTTTTTTTTTGTATGACAGTTTGGAATGACCACTTGTTTCTAACTGAAACAAAACAAATGGCTCAGATCTTGCCATTATGTAGGAGCAAAATGTTGCACTAGTAATAAAAACATATACACCTAGCAATGTCATCATCACTATGGTAACCATCGCCATAGCAACAGATGACAAGCTTACAGAAATCATAGCTGCTTCGCTTTTGTCTACAGCAACGCTTTTTTCAACATTTTGACAAGTTCACTGTCATACCAGTGACTAAAAGAGATATATTTTCCTGTGTCGTTTTGTATTTCTAATGTTCCCTGTGCCTTATACAGTAGGTATTTTCTAAGCAATAAGAAAAGAGAACCCTACATTTATGTGCTAAACTTGTTAGAAGGAAAGTGATATTTCCCACCAAGCAAGCTATGAAATTTGAATACAGCAAAGGAATTTTTGAACTGTACCATCTAGTGCCTTATCTAAAAACATTTTGGTCTAGTTAGTTGCATATGCACATATCACAAATAGTTGTATCACCAAATGACCATATCTTTTTTATAGATTGCAAAAGTGCAGAACTTTGTTAAGACAATGGAATCCTTATTTACTATTTTTTAATGTGTACATTCACAGTTTGTCCACAGACCTGGGGGATGCAGAGCATTCTGGGTAGTGCACAGTGCAAGCAAAATTGTCATGGTAATGAGTTTGTCTCCTGTATTTCCCACAATGCCCTATGCCTCCAAGCATGCAATGAGATCTGTTAAAAGGTCTATGTTGTCCAAGCCCAAATTATTGTTACATGTGAACTGATGTATGTAAAATGATGTGAAATATCATATTTCATGTGTAATCATTGACATCGATAACTGTGCCATTACATACTGGAGCCAATTTTGACAATATGTGAGCACATTTTTGGATCTTGGGAAGACAATATGTGAGCATATGTTTGGATCTTGGGATTCCATTGTCTTTGTATAGTTTCATATCAAAAGTGTAGTTATATTAGACATATCCTGTGTGCCATATCAACCACCATGGTCAAATGTATGGGAAGAATAGTAATAGGTGAATTCACACCCATGTGTTAGAGAATGTATATTTTGTACATTCTAACCCCCACCCTATAACTTCCTGATATAGAATTCTTGCTGCTCCCCCTGTTGTCATATCAGAGTATTGCATCTCTTTCTGAAAAGCACAAGTACTTAGAACCATATCACAAGAAAATATATTGAACACTACAGCAATGTTACAACAATTTTACAGCACTTTTTTGTGACTGACGAAAAAAGTCCCACCATATTTTGTGCAGCTGTATTTTGTTGTTGAACCAAAATTACCAAATACTGCCATGCATTGTAACCTATGCTGATGCAAAAGACAAGCTGGTTTATATAGTGACTAGCAAAGAGTAGAAGCACAAGGTGTAAATAGTGCCTTACGGAATAGTAAAGAGTTATTCACCATATCAGGACACTTAAGGTAACGTTTTATACCGCTAGTATGAATGATGTGACTTTTAAAGAGAGAATGGACTTTGGTTTTTAAGATGTAAATAGAACTTTTGAAAAAAAATGTTTTGTTTGGCGTTGTTTCTTGAGTACTTTATTTAATTATATATCGTGTCATGGGACTTAAATTGAATATCAATAGTGATTTGATTATTATACTACTCCTATGTGTCAGGTTTTCGTATCAAAGTAACGGCAGAATATATGCTGAAGCATCTTCAAAAAGAAAGCATAATGCGCTATGTTTGGAGTGAAATCTTGAACACTTTGGATAATGACAGGCTACCTGAAACCAATAATGAAGTTATTTTCATACAATTGTGTGTGTATACTAGAAGTTTGAAACCATGATTTCAACATCGCTTGTTTTTAAAATAAAGTCTTTCATAACAATTTTTAGAAAGCCTTTCTAACAAAGGCTCTGGTTTCAATATTAGAGTGTATGACCTCCAAGATGTACACAGCATTTTATAGATAGTATATTTCTAGTATAATAATCACCTTAGCCTAACTCTTACCCGCGCCAAAGGACTAAAAGCGCCGGCTAGCAGCTCACAATATTATTGCAGGGATGTGGACTGAAACTCAAATTCAAATAGGGTCATTCATGCGGACATGGACAGGTCACTAATGCAAGATCTCATGCTTGTTTGAAAATTCAAATTCATAGGCCGATCTTATGTGCAGTGACACTTTTATTTGCTAGAAGTCGCTTTTGATCCATGTATGCGCTTTTCATGTGCTTTTACTGTATATTCTACAAAAAGATATCAAATCACTCAGGTGATCCGTCAATGAATCTGTGATATACTTAATATGACACAATATTCATACGTAAAGAAAATTGTTATGAAGCATCTACAGATTTTCGTTCAGAAAGGACACCAAACTTTTTATAAACATAAACTCTTTCCCAACCTGGAACTCCAGCGGTTTTGTTATTAGATTCAGGATACCATGAAAACCATTCTTGTAGTGCATCAGTCTTACCCCTACCCCCACCTTCTCCAGGCGTCTGGCGTACATGATGCCATCATCTTTTATTACGCGTTACGTCAAACTCACACACCAGAATACAAGTGTTGGGACAACCGGCTAGCTGACTATCCTCTGCCATGAGAGGGCTGAAATAGGGGTTAACGATATCCTTGATTTCTTCGGGTAGGTCACGGGGGTCATTTTAGGGTGCACGGGGGGTCATTTTAGGGTGCACATGGGATCGAGGGGTCGAGCAAATGTCGGTCCACGCAAGCAGCGAATCGAGACGTCTTCATGCTCTCGCTTATGTGAGCGTTACGCTCAAATTTCTCTGCCCACGAGACATTACGGCAGTCAGGTACAGGTTTAATACAGCTTGTCGCATGGGATAGCCCATCTAAAAATGGACTCTTCCTTGTTCTGTACGAGTCTGTCTGGAAGTCGAAATGTTGAAGAGCGGGGTAGACCAAGGCCTGTAGTTTGAGAGGACAGACGTTGGTGCTGCTTTCTTGAGTTAGTTTGAGAGCCACTGCCGCTGCCAGGTTACCCCCTGTGCTATCGCCCGCCACCCCCACACGACCAGGGTCCACTCCGAACTCACCCGCGTGGGATAGGAAGTACTTGGTAGCGTTGAGGCAGTCTTCGATCGAACGGTATGGGGAACATGTGCTCAGGCGCCAGCCAAAAGCTGAAAGAAAAATGTTACTTTTCCATTACCTGCCAACCCACTGAAGCTACACGGAACATATCACAGATCATGAGAACTTTTTATATGTAATGTATTCGCAAGCTATGCCACATTGACGCGAATAAATGATTACCGCGCGCGCGAGGATATCAATTGAATTGAATGAATGAAAGACCTTTATTGTACATTTTTGCTCATATACATTGCGAACTATATTATAAGTCCAGGTCACGGCAAATAGCAATGGGAGACTATAATATATCCATAGTAAAACTACATATGTTCAGGTTCTTCTTCTCGCTTCTTACTACAGGTAGATCTTTATCCGTTGATGCCTACCAAAAAGATAAAAGGACTCTTGAATATTAAGTATGAAATGGTGACAAATATGTGCTAAGAAATGGAAGTTACTGTCATTATAAAACAGATTTCCTCATCATGAGAACTATATTTGTTTTGCCGCCCTGAAATTGTATTGCATGCCTTACAAAGAGAAGGTAGTACCACAGCATCACTCCACTGAACCAACCACTGCACCAGTTGACTTAGCTATGTGTCTCGTCACGTGGTCGAAAAAATCTGGAAGACAGAAACATTGTGAACGATGATTAGAAATGAAGACATTCATATCAATATATTCATATTCATATTGCATTCAGATTCATATCATATTGCATACACGTAGTTCGAACGCCGCTGAAGATATTCTTTGTACATGTATATACAGTATTTACGTTTTGTATCGAACTCCTAATCTTAAAGAAGATGTAAGGATCTGTATCAAACTTGACCTTCCCTTGACTTTCCCTTCCCTTATCCCATGCATACCCACCTACTCACTGATCCATAACAGCATCTCGAGTTGCTGCTCACATTATCAGACACATACAAACCAACAAACACAAAATACAGTAGCGTAGAAACCGCTGTCAGTGTTTTACGCGAGTTTTTCTAATTAGTGCAACTTTTCTAGTATTGCACTAGATTTGTCTCCTCCAAACAACTTTGAAAACGGACTTTAAAAACTGAGAAGAATACATTAATTTGCTCCTTACATCTGCTTCGAGACTAATCACACCAAGCTCACTGTGGTCACTCACCTACAGACGGCAGTATCCATCCGCCGCCATGCATGAAGACCAGACCCGCCCCGTCCTTGACCTGTCCTTGACCCCGTGGCTGGTAGACCCGCACTTTGACCCCATCAAAGGCCGTGTCCGTCACCAGCAAAGTTGGGTCATCTACAGGCGGGCGGCGTTTGCGTCCGGCCTTCCTTCGATAGTCTAAGCTCGTTCCGAACCCCAAGAACTCATAAATCCTCCCCTAATTACCGAAAGGTACAACAACAACTGTTGATGTATAAACACCTGTGTATTCTAACTATTTATACTGTGGTCGACAAGTACAATGTATTGTGCAACATATATGTTGTAAATAATTTTTGTATGTGTCTTTTGTATATATGTTAAATTAGATGTATTATTACCTTCGCCAAGAAGGTTATGTTTTCAGTGGCGTTCGTGTGTGTGTGTGTGTGTGTGTGTGTGTGTGTGTGTGTGTGTGTGTCTGTCTGTCTGTCTGTAAACACGATAACTTGAGAAGGCTTAAATGGATTGACTTCATATTTGGTAGGTGGGTAGGTCTTGATGAAACCTCGAAATGATTAGATTTTGGGCCCCCTAGCGGCTTCTAATGGCACTGCAGCTGAACTTCCGGTTTTGATATCTCATGATCTAGACATGCTAGGGTGACGAAATTTGGATGGTAGGTAGGCATTGTGCTCGGGAAGAAGTGACATAAGTTTGGGCCTCCTAGCAGCTTGCTCAGGAACTGCAGGGACATTTCTTTGAAAATATTCAAAACAGGATAACTCAAGAACCGGTGGACGGATCTTCATAATTTTTGGTATGTAGGTAGCTTATGTGACTCTTGATATAATTATGTGACAATTATGCAAATCTGGATGTAATTTGCATAATTAATGAGGAAATTCTATAAATCAGCTGCATTACCTTATAGGACTATTCAATCTTGTGACATATGTGATTGAGAACGAGAGAAACACAGGCAGATATTAATTATGTAAATTAACACTTAATTTGCATAATTAATGAGAAAATGTTTTAATTCCATAATGGTTACTGCCTGGAATTTCATACTTGGGGTATTTAAAAGTTAAGTGAACCTGAACATCATTAAACATAACTTATTCAAATAAGGACCTCATTTGCATAATTTATGAGGAAATGGAATTAGAATGGCTTTCTTTGTTAAGATAATGCTGTCTTTTGATGGAGAATATGATATAATTCATGCAAATTAGTATGCTATTTGCATAATCAGGAGGAATCATCTTTGTCAGTCATAAAGACTAACATCATTTGGCGAAGGTATGAGACTCTATAGCTAGTTTTTCAATGTGAAAGCTGTTTTTCAAATAATGTGACAAATTGTACCTAATTCAGGGGGATGCGCTTTTGCTTCCCCTGCTGTTGTACATTTGTAAAATGATGAGCAATAAATGAATAAAGTTGAAGTTTTAATATTGTTGGACTGTAATATAAAAGGGATTTTTATGGGTTCACCACACCACGAAGTGGTGTGGTGAAACCATATTGCTTTTTCTGATGTTTCTTCTCCTTCTTCTCCTTCTCCTGCCATTTTTTAAATGGATTCAGCTTCTTCATTTTAGGGCCTAAGGTCCTGAAATTTGGTATGGAGGTACAGTGGGCAAATACCCCTAGGCGTTTTTTAAATTATTGTGATACAGGCTTTTAGAATGGTTTTATTTGAGTTTTTTGGCTGTGTTATAGCAAATGTATTACTGTGTTAGTTTGCCTTGTTTACCACGTTTGGGCATGAGTCATCACAATGGAATGCAGGGCATCAACCAATAGGCATGCAGCTTTCCTCTATACTTCTTGCTGATTGGCTGTTGGGATTTAACTTGATTAACACCTGCACAGAAGCATTTCCATACTGACAGTATGTCTGTATTCAAGTGTTTTGGTAGGTATTTCAAGCTTTCCTGCTCCAGCATTGGAATGCCGGGCATGGACTTTTTTTTTTTATTTTGAAAATCAACAGTTTGCATTATGCAATTAAAAATCCTAACCAATAAAGTAGGGAATAGCTATCCAACTGTTGTTTTAGTTGTATTTTACTTCATATTATAGTTATATCAATGTAAATCATTGTTTTCCCTTGTGTTTCTCATTCTTTCCCTGCCATGTGGTAAAATGTGGTGAACCCATCGCTGTATTTGCTCCAAAGCAAATATTGGCCTTTCTAGTTTTCTATGTATATTTACAGGGGCCGAAACGTAGAGCGTATTGGAACACTGTTAACAAGAAACCTAAACAATTTCTTCAATTGTGACGAATTAAGAAAAACAGATACGTGCATGAAAATGACATCACACCATGAATCTCTGAAACTGAACAAACATGACGATGGTCGTGACTTTCCCTGGTTCAGGAAAACCTGTCAGCGGTAGTGTGCAGTAGTAGTAGACCGCTGTTGTCATGACAACGGTAAACAACCCGGCCCCTCCCACCTTCAGCACAAACATCGCGGCTTCCGTCTTAGAAAACAAATACAGTTAAAACAACAACAAATCTGACGACCTTTATCAAGTCTCCAAGCACATGTTGGCAGCAAAATCGTCTTCCCGAGCAAAAGAGTGCCATCCAAAATTCGTGACCATAGCATGTCTACCAAATACTGAATATAACTAGAACAAACACAGAAGAACTTTATTGACACAACAAAAGTACAGCCATGGCTGCGATGCACACACACACACACACACACACACACACACACACACACACACACACACTCTCTCTCTCTCTCTCACACACACACACACACACACACACACACACACACACACACTCTCTCTCTCTCTCTCTCTCTCTCTCTCTCTCTCACACACACACACACACACACACACACACTCTCTCTGTCTCTCTCTCTCTCTCACACACACACACACACGCGCGCGCCCGCACATACACACTCTGCCTCTCTCATACACACACACTCTCTTTCGAATTCCCTCTCGCCCATTTTCCCGAGTGGACGAAGTCTTACAGTCTGCACTTACTGTACAAAACAGGTGTGTTACGCCTAAAGTCGGTTATACCAAACAGACAAACCATTTCATTGTCCTCACCTGCGCAGCCAATGCCAGAATGACAAGGGGAACACACACCAATACCAACCAAGGAGCCATTATTACACTCGGAGCACAATAGATCAGGTCCGAATACGTCAACAGCAGTGACCTACATTGTATGACCTATTAGTAAGTAATTAGTTAGTACCAAATGGAGGCGTGACTTGTTTGTAGTATGACTGTATGAGCTGTATGCTCTGGTGGACGGATTTCGGGAACTAGATTTTATCTTTACAAGTGGTTCTGATTTGGATGTTGTAGAGAGGGGGTACGCACGTAGAGCCCCTGTCACCACTCACGGATTTGGCCTCCCGAACGCTAGCCGAACGCCCCCAACCATGTAATGGTTCAAAGGAGTGGATCGGTGCAGAGTCGGTTGGCGTTCGGCGAATTCGGCTACGATTCGGCTGCGCCAGCCTATAAACGTTTCAAAATGTTTAAAACATTCATGGGTCTTTCGGGAGGTTCAAGCATAGTAGGCTGGCTTTCTTACACCAGCTAACCATCCGGGAGTATAGTAAGTCAACAGTGTTCAGGGATCGCATTTGACTCCAACTTAACTCAAATTCGTTTCGATTCGTATAGCAACGTAGGCGTGGCCTAAATTTGGTCAGAGTGCTCCCGAACGGCAGCCGAACATGGTGGGGCTGGTGTTTGAGACTAAATTCGGGGAAAGGTCGTGAATGACGGTTCACTCCATTTAAAATGAGTTCTTGTAATGTGAAGCCCTAAAAGTTCTCGTAGATTTCTACCTTCACAATTGCAAACCAAAAGAAGAACGGACATAAGGCAGAGTACTTTCACAAGACCTGCTTGTTGTACGTGGAACTCTTACGATATTACATTAGCCCTGATGAGGAGAAGCAAGTTGCACAACGTTATCGCTTCAACTGTGCAGAATAATGGTCGAAACTGGTCCATGATCAAGAGATTATAGAAGTACCTGAGTACCCAAAGTCAGACAATACAATATTGGCTGTGTCTGACCCTAATTGGTATTTCAATATATTACATTTCCTAGCTGCCCGTTTCTGTCACAGAAACCAGGTCAGGAAAACATTTAGCCTCCCAACATATGAAGAGATACAGATTATGTTCAGATTATGCCATTTATTTATCTTCAGAATAAACAACGTTGGGGCCACTTGCTATGAATTCGAAACCAGAACCTGTGCCCTGTATGTATCCAGAATGTTCTTTCTGAAAACTTTATGGGTAATCATCCTCCTGAGGCAGGGTCAGCGGCGCTGTATTCCTTATACCTTACAAGGTACATGTATATAGAATACCGCGCCGCCGACCCTGCCTCGGGAGGATGTGGGTAAAAGGACTGAATGTGTATTTGCCTAAGAAGTTTTCTTTTAATAATGAGATTGAAAATTGACCAGCAGCACCATATCATATAAGTTAGGCAAGGCCGTTTTGCACACAAAGTGGTGGTTCCGGCATGATGAGAATTCTCTGGAATGTTATGTGCAATTTTTGGGCCCCATTTCCACTACATGAAGTAATCCGGATCAAGCCGACAGTGGGAACACTCCCGATCCGGTTCGATTCAGCTTGATCTGACTATTCAATGATTCACCTCGCGAGGTATATATTGCCTATGATTCAAAGCATCTTAAACTTTCGTATTAATTATTTCTGTCAGCAATGCATACAGTATGATCCCCAGGGGATGTCTTTGCATGTTGAAGACATGGAGTTTCGAGGCTCCAGCATACCTTTGCAATGGCTGATCAGATAAATAAAATTGTTATCTAATTAAGGGTTAATGACCTGCCCCGAGGTGAATATGGTGTGATAAAGCCATGTCAGTTGCTATAACCACCGAATACAGCCACCAAGTGCACGTATATGTATAAATATACACATTTGTGTATGTATACGTATGATTGTAGGTACACTATCATGAAAGTTCATCTGTGTTGGTACGTAGTTAAATGTTTAAACTTAAAGTTAAAACTTTTGATCCAACACAAAGAAATCATTTCACCTAGAGCTTTCCACCAGCCACTCTGGTCTTCCTCAGCAGACTGACCCAGTCAGGCTTGTCACGTGGCTTCTTTGCAGTGTGACGTCAACACTGGGTCAAAGGTATGGTAGACAATGTCGGCCTCTGTCCCGGTTCAATGAAGGTTGATGGGCCCTGGTGTATATGGCTTCCGTTACCCCAGTCAAGAAATAGTCTTGTTCAGTGTCCAAAATCCTTACAGTGTCAAGTGAAACAGTGTCCGGGTGACTCTATATGAACGTGTTGTAATTGTAGGTACACGTAATACTATGTGTTTTTATATACATCTGTATATACCTATATGTTGATGTTAACTTCTTACCGTATACTTGTACGTATACATATACGTATGTTAACGTATATGTATAACGTATATGTAATATACAGGGGATTCCACTTATTACCTTCGCCAAGAAGGTTATGTTTTTGGTAGCGTTTGTCTGTGTGTTTGTTTGTGTGTGTGTGGTTTAGCAAGATAACTCGAGAAGCAGTGAATGGATTGGAATGAAACTTGGTAGGTGGGTAGGTCTTCATGAGACCTAGAAATGATTAGATTTTGGGCCCCCCTGGCGGCTTTCCTAGGTACTGCAGCAGAACTTCCGGTTTTGATATCTCGTGATCTGGACATGCTAGGGTCACGAATTTTGGTTGGTAGATAGCTCTTGGGGTAGGGAAAAAGTGACATGAGTTTGGGTCCCCTAGCGGCTTGTTCTGGAACTGCAGGAGCATTTGTTGAAAAAATTTCGAAGGATGATAAATCAAGAACCGGTTGACGGATTGTCGTGATTTTTGGTGTGTAGGTAGTTGAAGTGATGCTTGACATAATCAGATGACAATTATGCAAATCAAGAGCTAATTTGCATAATTAATGAGGAAATTCTATAAATCTGCATTGTTCGATAATAGAACTATGAAACACTTGTGACATCTACTTGAGAATGAGATAAAACATCTGAGGATATATATTATGTAAATGAGGACCTAATTTGCATAATTAATGACAAATTTTTATAATTTTATAGTTGTAACTGTTGGGAATTTCATACTTGCCACAGTTGGAAGGTAAGTGAAGCTGAACATCAATAAACATAATTTATTCAAATCATGACCTTATTTGTAAAATTTATGAAGAAGTGCTATAATAGCCTTTTTGTTAAAATAAGGCTGTTATTGGGTGGAGATTGAATATGATCAACTGATATAATCCATGCAAATGAGGCTCTTATTTACAAAAGCGATGATTAAATTGTATAATTCGTCAACCGCAAGGGTTAACATCACTTGGCGAAGGTATGAGATCGCCGAACTCTTGTTTGTATTTCTCATAATTGTATATTTCGGGTAATTGTATAGAATTCTAAAACACCAAACCATTCACACCATTGTAAAAACAATGCATAATTGTATAGCGCATTATCGTATATTCCGGCGTATCGTATAGAATTTGGTCAGACTAGATCTTATAATGACACAGGTCTACACATTAAATGTTAGCAAGGATGGCATAAATGGACAGTTAAGTGCCTGTATAAAGACACTGGACCACCAAAAAAATAAAAAAATGAGTGTTTAGGGCCACAAAGAATGACGTTTTCTTAAAACTTTAGCGCGTCTGCCGGCGCTCGAGCGGTACCGGTGGTAGTCGGCACTACATAGTATGCCCCGCCCCGAACGCGGGCGGTGCCGGTGTGACGGAGATCTCGTACCCCCTGATTTTGCACCCCCTCGGGGCGAGATCACTAGCAATCTCGAACCCCCCGGGGCGAAATCGCTAGCGATCTCGCACCCCCCAAGCTAGTGTTTTCGCACCCCCCAAACTAGTGTTTTCGCACCCCCCGGTGATCTCACACCCCCCCGCCAAACATTTTGAAAATTGTTCTGTCTGCCCGGTATATAGTTGAAACTGCATTTTAGTGTGATAAAATCATACTTTAATGTTGTAATCGAGAGTTTTACAAGTTTCCCTGGACTAATGTGACGTATTTCAGCACAGCGCAATAATGGTGACTGTGCCCAATGATTGGTTGCAATAGTGTCCCTTAGTTCCAAGAAGAATGTGTGATTAATTCAACGTTATGTCATTCTTCATTATTGATTTTTTAAAAATCATTTTTAAGACATGACCAATATTTCTCTACATTGCTCACTAAGTTACACCTACATGTAGACATAGTAAAAGTGGCCTATGGGGGGGAGGCAAAAGTTCAAGATCTCTGTCACACCGGCGGTCGGCGGTACCGCAAAAGGGCCTATGATTGTCAAGGACCCGGCCTGAATTTTGTTCTTAAAAGTTTTGCCGAGTACCTGCGTGTTCCCATAACGTTAAATTATTCCCTGGATGGAATTAAATCACTTTATTTCCGCTTGAGAATTATTT